CCACTAGGACATTGATACTGATTTAACCAGTGTCAGCATTGTCAATATCATTAGCAGTGTAGCAGGTAGATAGCAATATAAATGTAATGCCACTAACACCTTCATTAGTGATATTTAGAAAATTCCTGGCCTTGTAGAAAAATGTGGCATGCAAAATATCTAACATTGTTTTATTTAAAATGCTATTTTAAGTGGTTTTAAGTGCATTTGCTAGCATTCCCTCTCTCTAACTTTCTACCAAAAGCATTGGGCCAAATAGCTAAACTTTGCTCAGATGAAGGATTTTTGCATCTTGGCATTATAGCAGACGTGAAGGGATGTAACTTAAGATGTAGTATTAAAAGTTTGAAGTGGCCTGACTGTTTTCCTAAGAATCTGTTCTCCCTTGGATGGGACTATTGTTAGAGCAAACTGAAGTTGCTGTCTTTGTGGGCACTGAATGGATTGTGAACCCAAAGTCAGCAATGTCGCCAGTTTTGTTCATGAGTAGCTGAGAGAGGTTTTAGAAAGCACATGTGGGTATACCCTGTACGGGAGATTTTGGCAAACCAGTAAAGTGCTTGAAACCACTATTGCTTATTGCTAAAAGCAGCCAACTCAGAAAGAACACCAGGTAACATATCCCACCTCCAGTGGAGCTATCATTCATTTGACTTAAAATAATAAAGAAAAAACAACCCCACCAAGACTTTAAAATAAATATTGTACACTTTCATATGAAACATGTTATTTCTATTCATACAACTTAACTAAATTTAGGTTTTTATTAATCCAATGTGACCTAAAAAAATTCTGCATTAACAGCACAATCTGGAATTGGGCTTATTCTCTTTGAATGCAGATAAAGCCATCATCTTGAAAATAGCTCTTTCTGACAAAAAGGTGTTCTTTTGAAATAAAGTCTTATTCACTACATTCCTCTTAGAGTTAATGTGAATTTTAGTGCCTCTAATTTTAGATTGAAGTGAAGTCTAGAATAAAACCCACGAGCTGACAATTGAATTTATAGATAGTTGTGAATATTTCAGGCTTGAATAATAGAGCTGTAGACTTTCAGAGACATAGAGGAATAGAGAATTAAGCTCCAACTGTAGTTTTAGAATATAATGCAGTTGTGTCTAGGAAGTCTTCAGTGTAATGAGCTAAGTAGTAATTAGGAGGCAACATTCTTACTGAGATCTGGTTTGGGCATTATTCCAAATGTTTAGTGAGATGACTTGATGATGGCCCAACCTGTCAAAGGTGTAGATCAGCGGTTTTCAAACTTTTTTTCTGGTGACCCAGTTGAAGAAAATTGTTGATGCCCATGACCCAGCGGAGCTGGGGATGAGGGGTTTGGGATGTGGTAGGGGCTCAGGGCTGGGGCAGAGGGTTGGGGGTGCAGGGATGAGGGCTGTGGGGGTGAGAGCTGCGGGGTGGGGCCAGGAATGAGGGGTTCAGGATGTGGAAGGGGGCTCTGGGCTCGGGCAGAGGGTTGGGGTGCGGAAGGATGTCAGGGCTCTGGGCTGGGGCCAGGGATGAGGGGTTTGGGATACAGGAAGGGGATCTAGGTTTGGGGGGGCTCAGGGCTGGGGCAGGAGATTGGGGTGCAGGGTTGGGGCACGGGCTTACCTCAGGCGGCTCCCGGTCAGCGGCGCAGCGGGGGTGCTAAGGCAGGCTTCCTGCCTCTCCTGGCACCACGGACCACACTGCGCCCCGGAAGCAGCCTGCAGCTTGCAGCGGGACTTGTCCTGCTCCTAGATGGAGGCACACAAACAGCTCTGCATGGTTTTCGCCTGTAGGCACCGCCCCCTCCAGCTCTCACTAGCCGGGAGCCAGTGCTCGGGGCAGGGGCAGTGCACAGAGTGCCGTGCCCTCCCTTCCCCCGTCTAGGAGCCGGACCTGCTGCTGGCTGCTGCCGGGGCGCAGCACGGTGTCAGAACAGGTAGGGACTAGCCTGTCTTAGCCGGGCAGCACCACCAGTGGGACTTTTAACAGCCCAGTCGGAGGTACTGACCAGAGCCATCGCGACCCAGTGCCTTACATTCCGCGACTCAGTACTGGGTCGTGACCCGCAGTTTGAAAACCACCGATGTAGACGGCTCTTGAGTCTCTTCCATTTGAAAGTGGTGCAGTAATGGAGAAATAAAATCAGCAGGAAACACGTGCCTGTTGTCCATGCACTGCCAATGTCACAAATATACATATATCCTTTCTTTGGTTTGCTTCTTCGGGGAGTTGAGCAACTTTTCATCCACTGAAAGCTACTATTTTCCTATCTCCTTGCAGTGGTTAGTTTGAACTGTACTTCTGTACTCCTGTGCACCAATCCAGTTTTCACTACTGAAACTGCAGCCAAGAGCAGATAAACCTTGATTAGTACTAGAAACTGCCAGTTCAAAAACCAGCATAGTAGCTGTTAACCTATACCGCATTGGAGATCAGATCTTGAGCTTGTGAAGAGGAGAGATAATATTTTGGTTCTGACAGCATACTAGGAGAAACCCATTTTTTCACCAGCTAAGACATGCATTTGGACAACTAATTAGTTGTTGACTTAATATTAAGTAATCAAATAATGATTCTGGGAATGGGAAGGTGACATCAGAGTTTGTACTCTAATAAATTATTCCCTAAACTAGAGCAAATTCACCAGTAGGAATTTTGCAGAGAGGAGAATGTGCCACCAGCAGAGACTAGAGAATATATAGTTGTGCTCCTATGGTTGTAACAGTGATGATTTTATGCATGGAATCGCAACAAAAGGAAGGCTAAAGAAAGGCCAGGCACTTGTATTCAAGAAAAGGACCTCTAGTTGGTAGATTGTGAAAGAGTTAATTGATATTTTTTTATCATAGCTGTATAAAATTCAGTGTCACAGAACGAGAGAGAGAGAGAGAGAGAGAGACCATGTTTTAGTACCCTAATAACTTCTAACTCTAGTCTAAGATCATAATGTATGTGAGAGCGGTCCAGTAATTATAAGGTAATAAGTGGAGTGGTGGTGTAAGTGCTCTAAATTAAAAGGAATTTGCAGAGCTGCTGTAAGTCAGTGCCGACCCGCTTTCTTTCAAACGTTGACTTGAGAAAAGTGCTTAGCCCAGAGTGCAAGTAGAGAGACAAGAGAGAGCTATCTATTAATTACAACACTCATTAACAGTGACGGGTACAAGGCAGCAGATGCAGAAGGAAAGGCATGCACTAGTGCAGGGTGGCAAGGGGATTCTCCGCCTCCCCCTTACCCCCACTAGTTCTTGAGAAAAGGACAACACAAGCAGGTGGTCCAAAGCAATAAGGTATTTTTAAGGATTTAACCTTCCCATTTCCTTGGTTTATGTGCTGACACAGAATGGTTTTGCTCCCTCCCCATCCCAAATAAAAATAGTGTTTAGGTGTAGTGAGTGAAGTTTCCAATCATCAGTCTGTTGTTTGTTTCATATTCACATGCAATTTGTTTTTGATATTCTTTTTGGTAAAATTCACCCCAATAACCAAGGCCCTATGACCACCTAAATCCCACTTTGAATATAGGGTAAATCTTACTCTAAGTGGACATTTCTAGGGAGGGGCCAAATTCTGATCTTGATTACTGTGGTGTAAGAATAAACTTAAATCTAGTTGCTGAATTTCATTCTGATTTACACCAATGAATTTGGCTGCAGAGCTTAAAGCTGCATATGAATTTTATTATGGCACATAAATGTGAGCAAGAGAAGAGCTGTAACATCTCAAAACTGATGTGAAATTATTTTAAGTCTGCCAAATTGCCTGCTGCAAACGCAACTACACTTGATTTTAATGTGGTTGTTTCCAAAACAATAGTGTATAACCACATGTGTGTGGGCTTATATAGTGGTTGCATTCAACTGAGAAAAAGTCATCAGAGACTTGTTCGTTGTGAACTGGGAGTGACAAAGGCTTTGCCCAGCATGCCATTTGCCACTGTGGCTTAGTAATCACAGTAACAGACAGCGAAGGTAATATCTGATCATAACCTTTCTAAATATTATGCTATCCTCCAACCCCCTTCCTCCTGCCAAAAAAGGACAGTTAGCTTTACATACGGGAAAGAAAAGGAAAGAGGGTGTGTTTTTTTTCTTGAGAGAAAGCTAATTTGTCAGATCAAGTGTCTTGTGTCTCTGCTTCACATGCTCAATTCTGAAAACAAGAATTAAGAAATAGGGCAATCAAAGATCTCACCCTTTGAAAGATAAAACTTTTATCCATTTCCTCCTTTTTTTTTGTTAACCCAGAAAGTAAAATGTAAAATGTCAGCTCCTCTAGAACCGTAGATATATGGGGTGCTGGCATAGTTATTACTGGTTAGTCTGAGGATAATGGCTAGAAAGTAATTGCAGCCAGAGATGATGAATCATCCCACTTAGATTTTGTGAAACTAGTGTCCAACCTTAATTATTTGTTAGAATCCTGAGATGATATTACTTCATTACTAAATAGCTATACCTAATAAAGAAATTTTAATAATAAAAAGTAATTGGGAGACTTATTCTTCAATTCCATGGTCAGATCAATAGATGATGCAGTTATGCTTTATTGAAAAGTGCTGACAAACAGTAATTACTGAGCACAACATTTATCACTTCAAACTCAGAAATGTTTGATTCTGTCGATAGTGGAATTTATGCAAGGAAAAATGCAGTGGGGGAGGGGAAAATGAAATAAATTCTAATAATCAAATGGGTTTCTGAATTCCTGACTCACTGGATGACAAGTTCAAAATTTAGAGAGTTGGTTTGAAATCGACACGCAGTCTAGCAGAAAGAACGGGGAGAAAAAAGGGTTTGGTCTCTTTAAAGTTTTTGTTTACTGCCTGTCTGAGGCTTTGATAAAGCTCTGTCATGCCCTTATGCTGATTACCTTCATGTAGAACAAGAGGTATTGACTAATGAATGAATGATGTGCGGTCCCTAGCCCTTGCAGAGCAATCTTAAAGAGCGCTGTCTTTAATACACAGATTCTTCTCTCTCCCTCCCTCCCTCCCTCCCTCTCCCACAATGCAGGCTTCTCTGCAGAATGTCAAGCAAAGATCGACACATTGATTCCAGCTGTTCGTCATATATCAAGACGGAACCATCAAGCCCCGCCTCTTTGACGGACAGCATCAACCACCATAGCCCTGGTGGCTCTTCAGACGCCAGCGGGAGCTACAGTTCAACCATGAATGGACATCAGAATGGGCTGGACTCACCACCCCTCTACCCTTCCGCTGCAGGGCTTGGGGGCAATGGGCCCGTCAGGAAACGATATGATGACTGCTCTAGCACCATTGCTGAAGATTCACAGACCAAGTGTGAATATATGCTGAACTCGATGCCCAAAAGACTGTGTTTGGTGTGTGGTGACATTGCGTCAGGGTACCACTATGGGGTGGCTTCATGTGAGGCCTGCAAAGCTTTCTTCAAGAGGACAATTCAAGGTTAGTGCTGATCACCGCTTCTCTCTTGTCCAAAGTAAAACTTTACAGCCCTGTCTAACTCCTGTTCCTTCTCCCTCCCATAAATTGTTTCTTTATATTTACAGTATCTGGTCCTACAGATTTTACTCATGCAAAACTCCTTTGTTCTTCAGTGGGAGTTTTGTCTGAGTAAGGACTGTAATTCTGGGCCTACAATCGTTTCTCTTTTTACTGTCAAAGGTAGGCAAATCTATCTGGCACCCTACGCATTTTCAGATTTTATTTTTTTTTCCATAAGAGATCCCCATGGACACTGATAAATAATTGCTGTTAAGAAAACTGGTTGTTTTCTGAAGGTTGCCATGGCTACCTCTTGAGTGGGCCTCCTTCAACATACCCTTGTTGTGCATAAGCATCGTGTGGCACATCTTGCTTTGAGCTGTAGCACTGCAGCACTTAAATTGTTAGAGAAATCCAGTTTATTTTTTTTAAAACTATAATCCACTTAAAGACAAAACCAAATGTAATGCTATAGTGTTTTGTGTGCTTCAGTGGATTAGTCACTGGCCTTTCACCTCTAAGATACTACTCCAGCCTTAACCAGATTCACCAAATATCTGTCAGATTACATCCTAAGTGAAGTAAGTTAGCAGGCTTTGGTCTCTGCCTAATAGCCCACATAACAAACTTGTTCCTGATGCTCATTACATATTTTGGCATAAGTAAGTATGAATGGGACAATTTGCATGTCCATTGTTCTATCTGTGGAACCAATGGAGTCCAAATAACCTTCTGTCCTCCTTTAGATATCATCGTCTCAAGCAGAATTGCAGGTGCTTTGTTTAGAGAATGTGAAGCCATGCCTGGTCTGTAGTTATTATACAGGAACTTAGTGTCACATTGAATTAAGGTCAGGCTTGGGTGCCTAAAATTAGGCACCTAAAATCCCATATTTGGACACCTAAATAAAAGGTGCTTGATTGTCAGATGTGCTGAATGCTCAGTGAAGGCAATAGGAGTTGGTGGAGAGAGGCGGAGGCTCAGTACCTTTGAAAGTAAGGCCACTTTTCCTGAAGAGCTTAAATTTGGATTTAATTACCCAACTCCGGGCATTTACATTTGAAAATTTTCGCTGAAGTGTCTCAAATATGTAACTAATTATTTAATATAAAATTGAGGGACAGATAATATATGTTGTTTCGATTTAACCATTCCCAGAGGGTGGTTCTTGAGCCCTTTAGGAGCCTTGAGAATCCCCCTTTTGTTTGTCTAATTCCCCTTTTGCCTCTCCCCTCTTCCCCCCAAGACTTTGCATTATTGCAAACATACAATCCCTCTCACTGAGGAGTGCCAGATGCTGCTGCTTCTGAAGCCTTCTGGAGGTCAGGTGTCTTTTGCAGAACAATGCAAGACACTGCGTTCCCTGATGTGGCTGAGTGGTGGCTTCCACTTGTGTCTCAAGTGCCTGCTTGTGAGCAAAGAACACTGATGTGGATCAGCAACATTGGGCTCTCAGGCAAAACTCCTGTTGAAATCAATGAGACATTTTCACACTAGAGAATCAACTGGAAGTTTTTTTTGGATGAGGAGTACTGGATTGGACGTATAACAGGACATTGTATTCCTGTTATCTAGCTAGATACCAGACAATGATTAAGAATATGTTACTGGAAGTTTAACATCCCTAGAGTAAACACCTACACCTCTACCTCGATATAACGCTGTCCTCGGGAGCCAAAAAATCAAATCTTACCACGTTATAGGTGAAACCGCATTATATCGAACTTGCTTTGAGCCACCGGAGTGCACACGCCCCCCCACCCCCCCGGAGCACTGCTTTACTGCGTTATATTCCAATTCGTATTATATCGGGTCGTGTTATATCGGGGTAGAGGTGTATATTATTGCATACTTGTTCAACCTTCAGTAAATATATCCCTGATTCAGGAAAGCACTTAAGCATGTGATTAAAGTTCAATTAAAGTCAATGGAACTTAAGCATATGCTTAAAGTTAACACGTGCTTAAGTGCTTTACTGCACTGGGGCCTATGTTAGTATAAGACTGTCATTGGATGTTAATGAAATAGCCACTGTTTGGTCCAAATTCCAAAGAGAAACACTGGATTGCAGTTGTCATGGGTCTGATTTTCAGAAAGTTGAGGCCCAAGTTCCCTAAACTTTGCAGGCACTTTGGGCAGTTATCATACATGTGGTTAGATCCATTTGTTCATTAAATAACCAGCTTGAGTGCACAGTTTATGGCAAGTGCACATGTAGAAAGTGCATGCTGACCTCAGGCCTCGGCTTCGTAATAATCAAACCTTTTGAGTGAAATAATTTCCTTTGACCTTCAAGAATGTTATCAGCAAAGCTCAACAGTTTATACAATGGAGGAGCAGATATTCTGTAGATGTTAAACTTCAATTAACATGGCTTTAATAAAGAACTGCTATTTGATTACCATGCAATAACTATCCTACAAAACAGATATACAATTATTTTAGATTTATCGTCATTAATAAAAAACGCCACTAAAATCTTTAACTCAGTCAAGTCTTGACTTCAGTTTTACACCACACCATAGACAGCAAGGTGCTGGGTCCTGAAGCATAAGTCACAGATGTCGTTCTCCAAATTAGCTCTCTGGACCTGTCCACCTAGCTCGAGTTATAACTGGCAGCTGTGCAAAAGCTTTCAGCAGGGATACAGCACTAGCTGCATCAGCACATATCACTGCACAGTAATATAAAGACAAAAAATGCAATGGTGTAAATAAAGGCATTGAATGGCACAGTAATAAAGGAATTCAAAGTAGGGCTAGAAAGGTGCCACCTTCTATGACAAGGCGGCGCCTTCATTCAAGTTATTGACTAAAGGTCCAAGCCAACAAAGTGATGAGTGCTTCCAAATCCCGTTTAAGATAATGGAAGTTGAGCACTACAGTGGGTCAACCCCCTAGCACATTATAGGTGAACTTAAGTAACTAAGGCAAAGGTACTCTTTATAATTCTAGGGGCAAATTTTACCTTTGAACATGTATGACTGGCTCTCTTGATTTCTTTGGCAGTCGTTTGATACAAAGGGCAGAATTTGTCCCTAATATTCCCAAAGGCAATTTTTCACTGTATAATTTCACTTTGTGGTTCACATCACACTTCGCCGCCTCCTCCATCTGTTTAAAAAAATTAGTTGATAATTGAATAAGCATAAATAAGAAAATAAATATGCACAAAGAGGAACATAAATAGAGAATAGAAAACAGGGGTGCTTAAAGAACCAACTACTAGGACTGAGTATATAAAAATTGCTTATCTCAAATGAAAGAATTGCTCCTTTCAAATGTTAATATTTCAATTCTGATGGGAAATTAATCATAGATTTCAGTGAAAAAAAAACCATGTTTCACTTATCAAACCTTTCCAAGTTATCATTCATAAACTATTAAATTAGCTCAGGCTGCAAAGCACAATGCCGCTCCTCATTGACATCACTGACAACACTCCCATTGACTACAATGGAAGCAAGGCTGAGCTTGATAAAGTTAGGTTGAAGGTGAGCATTATGCTCACTTACAGCCTGATCCACTTTCCATTTTCCATTGCCTTTAGTGGAGCTGGATCAGCCCTGAGTAGGGGAATTTCACTTTAATATGAATTGTTAAAGGACAGTTTCACGAGTAACAAAAGTGACAGCTCCTTGCTTTCAGACAATAACGGTTTGCTCAAAATTTATTTTTCAGTTTGAAACATTCCATACTTGTCCTCAGTCTGAGCTAATTTTGTTCTTAAATTTGAGGAAACTGCAATTAGTCTTTTTTGTGTGTGTGCGCTTTATAAGATTGGGGGGGGGGATCTATCCTGAGTCCCTTTTTGAGTTTTTCAGGCAAATAATCCAAAACCAGCTGAATTTTGAAAAAATGTGTGGAAATAATTCTTGATGAGAGGTAGCAACTGTTTCTGGAAAATATTTTAAACTAAATAATTATGTGATTGATTGAAAAACCACAGTTGAATATACACAATGACCATCTGCTTATAGCCTGAGTAGAATTAAATGAAGTTCTGCACACACATACACCCCCCATCTGACATCACATAAAGGAAGGGAGAACTGGATGTTCTCTCTGTTCAGCCGAGCACTTACAGGGTTGCTGCTCTTAGGTTGCTTCTTGGATAATTTACACGAGGGGTGACTGCAAATGTCTCAGAAATACATACACGCAGCCAAATCCACCGCCAAATTGGCTTAACATCAGGGACACTAGAAAATAGCAAGTGTTAGACTAGTCACAGGTCCATTGATTTTTTTTTTAGGGTCTCTATGCAGTTTTTGATGCATTCTGTGGTATCTTGAAAACACACCTTTCATTAAAATAAATAAATAAAGGGGCACATTTTCAGCCTTCAGGTAGCTGCATAGGCCTTGTGCTGGGCCTCTGACAGTGTTGCACGCCCTGTATATTTTGTAATTAACATTTAGCATCAAAGAGATCAAAAACCCATTTAACAAGACAAAAATTTGAATAGAAATTACTCCATATGCCAAATGTTGCCAAATTATTCTTGGTGTCGGAACATTACATTTAAATTTCCTGACTCCTATTTGTTGTACTACTTCAAATTACACATTGTTGCATTTAATAATATATAGTTGCTCTGCCATCTCTTTGGGTGAAACTTTTATTAAGTTACATGCACAAAGGTCCTGTTGGTTTCCATAGGAACCGGATGGGGTCCATGGGCTTTGAAAGGTTCAAGTGTTTTCCTTTTTTCTCTAAATTGATTAACACCCCACCCCCATCTCCTAGGTGATTGTCATCTTCAACCTAGCATGAAAATACAACAAAAAAATACACAACTGTTGAGGCAGCAGCCTGGTGGGAAGATCTGCGGTGTAAAATTAATCATTGACCAAAGGGAAAATGCTACAAAAGTGTAAATATTTTGGAGTCACAATTGTCATATTTCCAGATTCTAGGGTATTTTTAAAATTTATTTTTCATTAAAGGTGTTGGATGGAC